TGCAACTTGGTGCTGAGTCTGTATCAACTCTCAGTCCAGGAAAACCCACAGCAGATGCCCTAGAAGATGTGGTAACATGTATGATAGATTACAATTTGTAGAGATTATGTTGTAGTGCTTGAAAACATATTTATTATGACATTTATTAGGCATTTTATAAACTATTATGCTTAGTTCTCATAGCTCTGTGAAGTTGAATGTCACATCTCCTCACTTTACAGGCAAGGAAAGAGACAGAGAAGTTAAACAGTTTGCTCAAATTGCATTATCAAAATGAAAAATACCATGGGAATAATTTTTTGAAATATTTTAGACGTGTTTTTAAAATATTCTCATATCTTATTGCCAGATGCACTCTATCCATTGAAATAATAGTTCCAGTGTTTCAGAGGGGAGAACAGATATGCTTAGAACAAAGGCGTGACTGTCAAGGGGACTTTTAGTCTCTAGCACAGGATTAATCTTGAAAGCCAAGCTTTGTTAAGTGAGAGCTTTACAGATTCCTTCACTGCTCCTTAAGTCATGAAAAAGCAGAAGCTGTGGGGGTGAAGGTAAAGAACACAGGAGGCCTGAAGACAGTCCTTATTACGGGAAAGAGAGGGAAGCTATGCTGGGCCCCGCAGATTATGAGAACGAGGGGAAATGAGAGTAAGTGACACATCCAGAAAGCAGCCTCCCGACCTTTCACTCTGTTAGTTCTCCTGGGCCTGCGTGTTCAAGCCTGGTTTCCAGGCGGCAGTGCTACGAGGAGATGGTAGAAGCTCTGGGACTTGAGGCCTATTGGGAAGAAGTTGGGCCACTGGTCACCTGCCCTTCTGGGGGTACTGGAACTGTGTCCCCAGTCCCTTCTTCTCTCACATTCTGCCCATGAGGTGAACAGCCTGATTGTGCTCTGCACACAATGTGCTTCCTGGGCTGAAGACCAAGAGCAACAGGGCCAATCCGCCCTGGGAAACCACGAGCCAAACCAAACCTTCTCCCAAGTTCACATGTCGCGCATTGAGTAATGCAAAGTTACTACTCTGTTCTCATGCCACTATAACTCATGACAACTTCTGCTTGTCTGCTTCCAACTTGGGTAATTTCTTCCTCCTCCTGACCACACCTCACTAGGTCGCCCTCACTTGGCCTCGACTTTGCTGTGTAAGCTCAGCTGTCCTTGAGCTCAGGTCTGCCTGCCTCTGCTGGGATTAACAACAGCACTACTGTTCCCTGTTTCTCTACTTTGTGAAGACTCAATCTGTTGAGTTTGAAGGGCTTCTTACATCATGGGACCTAGAAAAACTTCAACAAATGTTTCACTCTTATGCCAGATTTAAAAAAAATAAAATAAAATAAACCCAATCATGGTTTAATCAAGGAGAAATTTGTTTTCCTCCAAAGCTGTTGAAGCAGCTTGCCCAGGCTTGATGCAAATATCCAAGGCCCCATTTAAGTCTCAATTTCCCTCTTGTACTCTACTGGGCAAGGCCTCTGACAGGGTAGTCAGACAGTTGTCCATGGACAGGAGAGTTAGCCCTCCTGCCCAGCACGGATATAGTGCGGAGGTGGAATGTGCACGTGAAGCAAGTCAGACCCTTTTGCCAGGGAGACAGCATGTTCTCACAAGACCCACACAGCAAACTTACACCTTCATCTCACTGACACAGAGGCCCCTCCTGGTCCCTTAGCTGCAGGGAGTTTAGAGAAGGTTACATCTTTTTTTCTATTATTATTATTATTATTATTATTATTTTGAGACAGGGTTTCTCTGTAGTTTTGGAACCTGTCCTGGAATTCTCTCTTGTAGACTAGGCTGGTCTCGAACTCACAGAGACCTGCTTGCCTCTGCCTCTTGAGTGCTAGGATCAAAGGTGTGTGCCACCACTGCCCGGAGAGAAGGTAGCATCTTAGAGTAGGTGTTTTCCTCAGGAACTGCAGAGGAAAGAAAGACAAGCCTCACTGCTCAGGGTGCTTCAGTGTATGGGCTTCCGTTGTTAGTGGAAAGCTCTTCCCTATCCCAGAGTATATGCAGTCTACATTCCTTTTAGATGAACTGTTCTTCTTGCCCAGTGGCCACAGTGGCCAGCAGTTTCATATCCTCCATCTCTGCTCGAAGGTGACCAGCTCAGGAGAGCTTTATTACAATGGAAAGTGACTCTCTCACCACAAGAGATTGTCTATTCTTTCACAGGGCCTCCCTACCCCACCTCTTTTCTCCTCCTCCTGCCCTTCCTTTCTTAAGGCAGCATAGCCTTTGAACTTTGCTATGTGGCTAAGGATGATCTTGATCTCCTGACTCCTGAGTGTCAGCACCACCACAAATCCTCAGGGCACTCTAAGAACTTAGCCACCTCCCCAGTCATTAAGCACTGCCCTGATGTGATGTCATTAGCTTCTTATCACTCACTTCCCTCTATAAGAAAGCAGTCCTTTGGGAGAGAGGGTCTTTCTATACAGCTCTAGCTGTCCTGGAACTCCCTATGTAGACCAGGCTGGCCTCAAGCTTGCAGAGATCCATCTACCTCCACCTCTTGAATGCTGGAATTAAAGGTATGCACCACTATGCCCTTTTTCATACTTATTTTTGAAATACACATTTTTTGAGACAAGATTTTACGATGTAGGCTAGCTTTGAACTTCTGATCCTTCTGCCCCAGCTTCCCAGAGAAAGCTACTAGGACCTGCTTTCAAATGCACATTGAACTGAAGTTCCTAGGGAAAAAGCCACAGCTACATCAATATTCTACAAGGCTGGTTAACTAATTTGGTCTCAATGACTGTCAAGAGTTGGAATGTTGCAGCTCCAGAGACAAATTATTGTGGGTTATCTATCTAAATTGCCTTTTATTGCCCTCACCGTGACTATTACACAAATCCTGTTTTAATGCATAAACAGATCCCATCTCAAAGAGGATGAAATAACACCTGAGGCCCATATCAGAGATTTTATTGATGTGCTGTAACCGGGGTCTTTTGGATGTTTCCACTAATGTTTAGAATGTTTTTTGTTCTATTGCTAGAGAAACTAAAATGAAATGGTTACCACCTAGGAACATGATATTTGGAGTCATCTAAATCTGTTCCTGGGGCCACAGGCATTTACATATTGCTCCCCAAGAAATTCTTAGACCCTTTGAACGGAAAGTTATTTTTTTATGTCAACAATATTTGAAGAAAAATGGTATCTGAAAGAGCTATCAAAGATAATGCCTGAGCTACAGAAATGGCTCAGTGGTTAAGAGCACTGGCTGCTCTTCCAGAGGACCTGGGTTCAATTCTTACTGCCTATATGGCATCTTACAACCATCTGTAATTCTAGTCCTGAGGGATCCAAAGCCCTCTTCTGGCCTATGTGGACACTACATACTTGGGATGCACAGACCTTCAGGCAAGACCTCTACACATAAAAGTAAGTAAATCTTAAAGAGATAATCCTATATGAGGCTACCAGTTAAAGACCCAAGGGAAGATTTCATTGACTACTGACGCCATAAGAAGGACTGGATTAGGAACAGGATTCGGAGCTTTTTAAAGGCAGGGGAATTGTGTGGAAGATCTAAAGTGTTGACAGCTGTGGTAGGCTACTTGTCCAGCAGGGAAATAAACTCCTCTCACGGCAGGAGGCGGTGGAGCAAGTGAAAACAAGACAACTATCTTTCATGGGAACTGAAGCCCACGGTGAATTATTTTCCCGAATGACTGCACCTCAGAGGGATGGCGATCACAGCCCCAGGAAAACACCAAGTGATAGGCTTGTTGTAATGATCTCTCCCGTTTCTTTAAGAGAAAGCCTCACCCACTCTGGCATCTGCCAAGGCAAATGGATCTTCCTTTGATTCCAGCCTGAGCTCCTTCCTTAGAGGAGCTTCTGTCTCTCCCCCCTGTTTCTCTTTCCCTCTCTGCTCTTCCCCCTGCCCCTCCATAACCCACTAAAAAAATACCCACTTTCTCTGCATGGCGTGCCTACTGGGCTCTCTCACCTGCGTGGCTCCCTGCCTGGGACCCACTGTCCCTCGTGGCTGGTGGCTGGCGGGCTACTTGGGAATCTGCAGCATTTTATCTAAACCGTAACACTTAAACTCCAAAGTGCAGGGGAATATATAATTATAATCCCTACTTCTCCTCAGGACCTAAGTATATGGAACCAGGTTTGGGCTGTGGGAATAAAAAATATGATTTCTCATACTTTCGAGTTAATCCAAGCGTGGATTTTAAGGGTGTCAAGTTTGTTATTGCTGTTCCATCCCGAGAGTCCTATAGTTTCCAGGATATGGCTAAAAAATGATCGGTGAGGCTTTAAGAAACTGCCAATACCTTAGAGTATGTTCCTAAAGTGCAGAGGGCGAAGCTTACAAATTTGTCTAAGAAAAATACGAAAGCCAGAATACTGACCGCGTGGCACACTTGGTTTTTTACCATTTTCAACTTGTCTAACTTTTGCCCTTCGTGCATCACTTGGCTTATTACCCAGACTGTGCCAGTTTCACGTGGGTTCAAGTGGGACACTGAGGCGGGCTGTCCTTTCGGACAGGAGGCTCAAGAGAGTCGCTAACACCACGGACAGCAGCAAGACGGGGACTCTAGGGAGCTCAGAACCCCTTCAGGCTTGGGATCCCTTCCTTAGGGCCTAGAGGGGAGCAGGTCACATGACGGGGATGGTCACGTGAAGGGCGGGACGCTCACGTTTCCTGCTCACAGGCGGTCGCTGAGCCTGCTCTGTGCGCATGTTTCTCAAGGCGAGTGACTTTCCTTCTGGAAACCACACCGTCGTCGTCCCGCGTCCCCGCACGACCGCGCACCGCTCACGTGACTCCGCACGGCCGCGGGCCGGGCCCTTCACGTAGCCGGGTGCCTTCCGCGTCGGCTTCAGCGCGCCTGCGCAGCCCGCGAGGCCCGGCCGGCAGGTTGGTTGGCGGCCCCGTCGTAAAGCGTCGTGGGGCGCCTCGCCGGATGCGCCGTGGGGTCCCAGTGCCCGGCGTCTTCCGGGAGCGGGGTTCGCTCGCTGCGGGGCTCGAGGCCAGGCCCGGCGGCCGCAGACCCCAAGCCGGCCGCGCGCCAGGCGCCGATGGCCGGCCGCTCCCTGGGGCAGGCGGTAGCCACCGTGTCGCTCTCAGTGGCCCTCGCGTCCGTGGCGGTCCGGTCGTTAGGTTGCCGTGGCGTCCCCGCGTCCAGGTACCCCGTTTCTAGGGCGGGCTGCGGCTCCCCCAGACTTGCCTTTCCCGGGGGCTGTGCCGGCGCACGGGGTTTAGCAAGGACCTTTCTCCAGCTCCGGTGTTTCAGTTTGCCCGCATGGCTGTGCCGCCGGCGTTGATTCGCAGGTCACTGGGGTTTACCGGGCATTTGACTGTGCGTTGCCCCGTGTGAGGGTTAATACTGTTGCCTGTCACCGAGACACACGCACTGTCGGTGTGAGTGGCAGGCACCGCTTGCTGTGCGCAGAGACCGCGGGGCTGGGACCTCGCTCCTTCTGCTGGGCCAATGGCTGGGAAAGTTGCAAGCCTGCTTCTGTTGAGTCCTCGACACCAGGGTCTGTAGCAGTGGTCCTCGCCCTCCCCTCCCCAGAGCACAAACGCCCACACTTCAGACTTGACATTTCCCAGGAGGACTGTCAGCAAGCTTCAGTTTCACAGAGGAAAGAGAATTCCGTGGTTCTTAGCCGGCTCATTAGATCAAGTTTGAAATTTCTCAGGGCTCCGGTTGCAGACGTGCCATCTTTCTTAGTCTTTTTGAAAATAGAATGACTTCTACTGTCTGTGGTTTGTAGGCCCAGTGACTTTATCTCTTTTCTCTCTTCCTGACAGTGCTTATAAAACCCCTCAATCAGAGCGTCCCTCTCTGCTGGTGTGAATGAACTTCCCTTTACACATCTGGTCTTCAGTGGGGTTTGCCGAGGGAGAAACTCAACTCGGGCAATCACTGATGGCTGCTTTTGTTGATTGGTACCAGAACAATACAAAGCTGCTCGGTGTTCCGTCTTTATCGTAGTAAGATGGGGAAGGGAACTTTGACAGTGGGGTATCCAGAACCGAAACTGCATATTCAGAAGAAAAGCCCAGAGTCAGCAAGAATGTGTCAAGTGCCAGCTAATCTAATATTGCAAACCATCTGGGGAGCGACAAGAGCGATATCACTTCAAGAGTTTTGTGGCTATCATTTTCTTCAGTGGTGTGGCCTAGCTTAGAGCCTGGCTCTGCATTCTGACTGCTGTGAGTGTATGACCCCAGTTAGCCTACGAGGCTCCCAAGGCTTTGTTAGACTTATTTCGAAAACAGAGGTTTCTGAGGGTCAGATGAGTGGGCAGAATTCCATCGCTTAGCACAGGGCCTTGCAAGTGCATGCTTAGCTCTTAGAATCTATAACACTGAGATTTTCCTTGGTTCAAAGCAACATGCCGCTTTTGGATTCCTTATATTGCCAGTCTTAGGAACTGGTCTCTGCTTTGTAAGATGCTTTTTGTTAATTTTCTAATTCCCATTTGTTAGGGCAAACATTTCCTGCACGGATCTGTTATTCAATAAAAGCATTTATGCTCTGTATATGTTTATAATAAGTATTCTTGTTCCAATAGTCATCACTATCTCACACTGGAGAGCGGATCTAAATGGGATTATCAGATGCAGAGTCTGATTTTATTTTGCTATTTATTTTAAAAATATTTATGGATGTTTCTTTCTCTCTGAGCATGTGTGCAGTTGTGTGTGCTTGTGCACCTGTGTTGAGTCCAGAAGATGATATTGGGGGTCTTATCTCTCACGGTTTGCATATTCCTTTGAGGAAGATTCTCTCCCTGAATCTGGGGCTTGTGTTTTTTTCGGCTGGGCAGGATCTTCCTGCCTCTGCCGCCTTACCTCCTGCCAACTGGGGTCACAGGTGTGTGTGTATGCCTGGCTTTTTAGATGGTACTGGGACCTGAACTCCAGTCCTCAGTGACTGGGTGGTTGCTGTTCTTAGCAGAAGTGTTGTCTCCCCAGCTCCACTATTTCCCTTAAGAAATTAAATTTATTAGGAAAGTAAGCATCAGGTGTGTCAATCGAATGAGACTGGAGAGCACATTGGCACCATTTGCTTGCTTAGTCTTCCCTAAGTTGGAGAACAGAGAACTTCAGATTACTTAGTTTTGGTGCTTGGGTGGGATAGAATAGAAGAATGAGTATGTTTTTCTTGCCCTATTTCCATCCATGAAACTTATCTCTCATTTCAAAAATAGAGAACAGGACTCTGTTAACTGTTGCTTTTAAAAAACATATTCCTGGAATCTAGTTAGATAAATACACATGTTTCACACTTATGTATTTTTGAGTATGAGCTTTGAATGATACTTGTTTTTCAGAGAAGTCATAACTTGGATTTCAGATTTCTAGTGGCTGAAGGAAGCATGCCGACAGATAGGCAAACAATGAAAACCTGCAACTTTTCTTGGTGTGTGAGGCAGTTTGCTGAGTGACCAGGCTGCCTTCGATCAGGCGGTCTTCCTGGCTGTCCATACTGCTCGGGAATTGTACTTGTACTTTGGATAAAGTCAGTCAGGTTATATTTTCTCCTGCTCTTCACTGAAGCCTGCCTCCCTGCGGTGTGAGCCTCCTCATCGGGTGGGCATCCCTGCAGTTTGGGAGTTTGACAGTACCGCATGGGTAAGGAGTGCGCACAAATGAAGGGGCAGCATTGTGACAGTCACTGAATGGGATCAAGGAAGACAGACTAAAGTCAGGCAGAGCAAACAGTTTGTTGTTGTCTTACAAAAACAATCACCCTGTGTTGAAATGACTCGGTAGTCACCACGGGTAACTCACGGCCATGCAATAACTTGCACATAACCTTCTTCTTTTTTTCTTTCTTTTTTTTTTTTTTAGTAAATTTATTTTTAAACTACTGTTTATATTTTTACCCATGGCTGAGTTTTCATAGCACACACACCCCCTTTTCCTAAAAGAACATAAAACTGACGTTCTGCCCCGTTTGCTCAGCTAAAATAATTGCAGCTAATAGGCAACAGTTATAAGATTAACTAGTTTGTGTGTGCATGCTGGTGTGTGCCAGTGTGTGTGTATGTGTGTGTGTACATATGGAAGCCAGAGGGTGATACCAGATGTCTTCATTGGCCCCTGAGACGGGGTCCCTCACTGACCTCGGAGCTCATCCGTATCACCTGGCTGGCTTTTGAGCTTTTTCCACCTGCTCTACTCCAGTGTTGCGGTGACAGACAGTGCTTAGTGCTCACCTTTTGTGTCGGTGCTGGGGCTCTAACTTAGGTCCTGTGCTTGTGTAGCAAGCATTTTACTGAGTTACCGCTTCAGTCCAGATTTAGCTAGTTTTCAAAATCTTCATGTTGGAAAATCCTTCATGGATGTTACATGTTCTTAACTTGAATTTTTTGATTTAAAGTGTTTATTTTGCTTTTTAATCCTAGTGTATGCATGCACACATGCATGTGAGTGTCGGTGCCCTCAGAGGTCAGCGGCCTTGTCTATCCTGGAGCTGGAAATTGCGGTGGTTGTGCGCCGTCTGACACGGACGTAGGTGTTGGGAACCAGCTCGGCTCCTCTGGAGGAGCAGTACATACCTCTGAGTCATCAATCTCTTCAGCCCCAATTTCCTAATATTTAGAAGTTTTTGAAATTGAAAATGTTTTGGGAGTCTTTGAACTAGGTTTTTTAGTTCATATGCTTTGGAATGTTTCTGAGATGTTTCTCTTTTTCTCCTCAGAAACTCGTTTCCGTCCTGTGGATTTCACCTTGGCGCTGTCATCATGTCAGGTTCTAACGGTACCAATGAGAATTCCCACAACAAGGCTCGGACATCTCCTTACCCTGGTTCTAAGGTCGAGCGGAGTCAGGTTCCTAATGAGAAGGTGGGCTGGCTTGTGGAGTGGCAGGACTATAACCCGGTGGAGTACACTGCAGTCTCCGTCCTGGCTGGGCCCAGGTGGGCGGACCCTCAGATCAGGTGAGCCATAAGCCGGTCGTGGCTAGGGGTAACGTGTCTACATGTCATGTGTTTTAAATTATCATTTGTCCCTTGGGAAATCATTTTTATCCATGCTGGGTGTTGCTACAAGTCAGTTTTCACGTCCCCTTGAATTTTTCCAAAGCAAACAATCTTCGCTGTTTCGTGAGGCTCTCCTAATAGGCAAATCTATTTTGGTTTGAAATAGCTGCTATAGTGTCTGTTTTTGCAGTTGTAGTTGGGTAGTTGTAGTTGTACCCCTCTGTTGTTTCGGCACAGTGAGCCTGGTATTTGAGGTTGTGAGCATATTTGTGAGACGTGTTTCCAGGTGACCAAAACCAGACGATGAGTGTGAAAAAGTAGGGAAGGGCGTGCAAAAAGTGGGAAAGGGAGGGAGAGGCAGAGTGCTCTGTGTTCCTGGAAGTGCTCGGATGGTTCATATTTTGTGATTATATTCTCTTTCTAGCTTTGGCAAGCTATAATCGACAAAAATTGTATGTATTTAAGATGTACAGCTCAGTGTTTGGATTCACATCTACACTGAAGTGATCAGCACAGTAGCACCAGTTAACGTAGCCATTGCTGTCTTGTGCCCTTCTTTTCGTGGTGAGAACATTTGAGATGTGTCTTCAGTAGGTTTTAGGTATACGGCACAGTGTAGGTGGTCGCAGACAGTGGGTCTCTATAGCCAGTGCTCACACAGTGTAGGTGGTCGCAGACAGCAGGTCTCTATAGCCAGTGCTCACACAGTGTAGGTGGTCGCAGACAGCGGGTCTCTATAGCCAGTGCTCACACAGTGCAGCTGTGGTCATGGACAGCGGGTCTCTATAGCCAGTGCTCACACAGTGCAGCTGTGGTCGCAGACAGCGGGTCTCTATGGCCAGTGCTCACACAGTGCAGCTGTGGTCGCAGACAGCAGGTCTCTATAGCCAGTGCTCACACAGTGCAGCTGTGGTCGCAGACAGCAGGTCTCTATAGCCAGTGCTCACACAGTGCAGCTGTGGTCGTGGACAGCTGGTCTCTATAGCCAGTGCTCACACAGTGTAGGTGGTCGCAGACAGCGGGTCTCTATAGCCAGTGCTCACACAGTGCAGCTGTGGTCGCAGACAGCAGGTCTCTATGGCCAGTGCTCACACAGTGTAGGTGGTCGCAGACAGCGGGTCTCTATAGCCAGTGCTCACACAGTGCAGCTGTGGTCGCAGACAGCGGGTCTCTATAGCCAGTGCTCACACAGTGTAGGTGGTCGCAGACAGCGGGTCTCTATAGCCAGTGCTCACACAGTGTAGCTGTGGTCGCAGACAGCGGGTCTCTGGAACTAATGCTCACACAGTGCAGCTGTGGTCGCAGACAGTGGGTCTCTGGAACTAATGCTCACACAGTGCAGCTGTGATCATGGACAGCGGGTCTCTATAGCCAGTGCTCACACAGTGCAGCTGTGGTCGCAGACAGTGGGTCTCTGGAACTAATGCTCACACAGTGCAGCTGTGGTCGCAGACAGTGGGTCTCTGGAACTAATGCTCACACAGTGCAGCTGTGGTCATGGACAGTGGGTCTCTGGAACTAATGCTCACACAGTGCAGCTGTGGTCGCAGACAGTGGGTCTCTGGAACTAATGCTCACACAGTGCAGCTGTGGTCACGGACAGTGGGTCTCTGGAACTAATGCTCACACAGTGCAGCTGTGGTCTCAGACAGCGGGTCTCTATAGCCAGTGCTCACACAGTGCAGCTGTGGTCATGGACAGTGGGTCTCTGGAACTAATGCTCACACAGTGCAGCTGTGGTCATGGACAGTGGGTCTCTGGAACTAATGCTCACACAGTGCAGCTGTGGTCGCAGACAGTGGGTCTCTGGAACTAATGCTCACACAGTGCAGCTGTGGTCATGGACAGTGGGTCTCTGGAACTAATGCTCACACAGTGCAGCTGTGGTCATGGACAGTGGGTCTCTGGAACTAATGCTCACACAGTGCAGCTGTGGTCGCAGACAGTGGGTCTCTGGAACTAATGCTCACACAGTGCAGCTGTGGTCATGGACAGTGGGTCTCTGGAACTAATGCTCACACATAGTCAAGCCTGTGTCCTTTCAGCATCATCTTCTCAGCTTGCTGCTATTTATGTTTCTCTTAATGATAAATAAAATACAGTAGTGAAATTATTTTCTTTTTTGAAAGATTTCAGGAGCTAGAGGGAGTGAGAACTCATTAGTTAAGGACACTTGTTGCTCTTACAGAGGACCCGGGTTTGGTTTCCAACATTTACACGGTAGTGAACAACCAATCATAACTCCAGTTTCAGGGGCTCTGATACCTTCTTATCTCCATGGGCACCATGGACCCACATGATAGATGTAGTAAATGCAGGCAAAACACAAACACACGTATATACATAAATACACATATATAATAATATCATATGATTATATATAAAAATAAAGTCAATCTAAAATTATTTTTTAATGTTACTCATTCATTGGATTCATTTAAATTATTTTGCTTTAATATTTAATTATTGTCGCTAGTCAATGCAGACCATGTAACCCAGTATGGACAAATTCGACAGAACTGCCATATATGGGCTGCCCATGCATGCTTCAGCATTGCCAGGACATAAATTTCAAATTTTCTGATTTCATTGCTAACTATCAAAAGGCACATTCACAGCCTAATTTTATATTTTAACTCATCTATAAAAGCATAAGACTGTACATGTTGATGTTTTGATGAATGTATATTTGAATCAGCTTTAATATAGCCATTTCCTCAAATATCCTTTCTTTAAGTTGAAAACATTCTAAATCATTTCTTCTAGCCTTTTGAAATAGTCTGTAACCACTCTGAAGTTACCAGAACCCTTAATCCTATCTAAATGGACGTCAGAGCCCGTGGAGTAGGCTGTCCCCAACCCCTTTGTAGTAGTGATTTCTTGTTGGGACCACCAGCTCACAAATAACAATATGGAGACTTATTATTAATTACGAAAGCTCGGCCATTAGCTGAGGCCTGTCTCAGCTAGCTCTTATAATGTAAATTAGCCCATTTATATTATCTATGTTCTCTTCCATCATGTACCTTCTGTTCCCTCTCCATTCTGATGGTGACTCTGCCTTTCTTCTTGCCAGAGTTCTCTCTCTGCCCAGAAGTCCCGCCTACACCTCCTGCCCGGATATTGTCCATTTAGCGCTTTATTATACCAATCACAGAAGTACACCTTCACACAGTAATCAAATATCCCACAATATTTCCCCCCTTTGTCTAAATAAAAAGGAAGTTTTTATTTTTATTTAATAATATAGTAAATATTAGTAATACTAATACAGTAAAACTATATGCAACAAGAACAATTATCAAATAAAAATTACATTCACAGTGTCCAGTCCATTTGTATTTGGCAAATTGGATAATTTGCAGTTTTATGTTGGTTTGGCATTTACGTCTAAGATAAAGTAATTTCAAGCTGGGAGATTGGTCAGTGGGTAAAGTGCTAACTGTGGAAGCTTCGGTCTGGGCCTGAGTTTGGTCCCCAGAACCAATGTAAAAAGCTGGGGGTGGGGGTGAAGGGGCAGCATGTGCTTGTAACCCCAGTGCTGCAGAGGCTGGGATTGTGGGATCCCTGGAGCTCGCTGGCCAGCAGCCCAGCATATTTGTCCAGTTCCAGACCAGTAAGAGGCTCTGCCTAAGAAAAATGAGTGTTTGACCCCTGAGAATTGATCCCCGAGGTTGACCTCAGTCTCTACACACACACACGTGCACATGTGCACCCCCACCCCAGCACTTGTAGCAACAGAAGTCCAGCAAACAAGTTGATTGAAGTAGATAGCAGGAGAGTACTAACTGCAGGCTAGGAAGTGTAAGTGGGTGATTGGGTAGCCAGCAGCTACCCACATAGAATTCCTTAGGAAGTAAGTTCTGCCATCTTATGGCACAGCGGGGGTTACCGTTCACAGTACTTTGTTATATATTTTATAAAGAGTTAGACAAGAGAATTTCAAAAGTTCCCCATGTAAAGAAGTAGCAAACGTGTAAGATGATGTAAATCCTAATGACTCAGATTTGATCATCACAGTTATACATGTCAGATAATCATTCTGTACCCCATAATACGCACAGTGATTATGTACCAGTTAAAAAGACAAAAAAGGAAAGCACCAATGCTTGCTCTGCTGATGGCTGTGGCATATAACGTGTTGGCTCCCGAGTTTATTCTCACACTCTTTGCTAAATTACCATCACATAATCTCAGAAGAAGAGCCCCAGGCCTCTCTCATACCAAATCCAGCAAGTAACATATGCATGTGTGTGAACAACTGTACACGTGGGCGCAGTGTAACATGAAGAGAGCATGTATCTGTGTGAACAACTATACACATGGGTGCAGTGTAACATGAAGAGAACATATGCATGCGTGTGAACAACTGTACACATGGGCGCAGTGTAACATGAAGAGAACATATGCATCTGTGTGAACAACTGTACACGTGGGCGCAGTGTAACATGAGGAGAACATGTATCTGTGTGAACAACTGTACACGTGGGCACAGTGTAACATGAGGAGAACATGTATCTGTGTGAACAACTGTACACGTGGCGCAGTGTAACATGAGGAGAACATGTGTCTGTGTGAACAAATGTACACGTGGACGCAGTGTAACATGAGGAGAACATGTGTCTGTGTGAACAAATGTACACGTGGACACAGTGTAACACAAAGAGAACATGCATCTGTGTGAACAACTGTATACGTGGGTGCAGTGTAACATGAAGAGAACATGTATCTGTGTGAACAACTGTACACGTGGGCGCAGTGTAACATGAAGAGAACATATGCATCTGTGTGAACAACTGTATACGTGGGCACAGTGTAACATGAAGATAACGTGTATCTGTGTGAACAACTGTACACGTGGGCGCAGTGTAACATGAAGAGAACGTGTATCTGTGTGAACAACTGTATACATGGGCGCAGTGTAACATGAAGAGAACATATGCATGTGTGTGAACAACTGTACACATGGCGCAGTGTAACATGAGGAGAACATGTATCTGTGTGAACAACTGTACACGTGGGCGCAGTGTAACATGAGGAGAACATGTATCTGTGTGAACAACTGTACAAGTGGACGCAGTGTAACATGAAGAGAGCATGTATCTGTGTGAACAACTATACACATGGGCGCAGTGTAACATGAAGAGAACATGTATCTGTGTGAACAACTGTACACGTGGGCGCAGTGTAACATGAAGAGAGCATATGCATCTGTGTGAACAACTGTACACGTGGGCGCAGTGTAACATGAAGAGAACATGTGTCTGTGTGAACAACTGTACACGTGGGCGCAGTGTAACAGGAGGAGAACATGTATCTGTGTGAACAACTGTACACATGGGCGCAGTGTAACATGAGGAGAACATGTATCTGTGTGAACAACTGTACACATGGGCGCAGTGTAGCATGAGAACATGTATCTGTGTGAACAACTGTACACGTGGGCGCAGTGTAACATGAGGAGAATATGTATCTGTGTGAACAACTGTATACGTGGGCGCAGTGTAACATGAAGAGAACATATGCATGTGTGTGAACAACTGTACACGTGGGCGCAGAGTAACATGAAGAGAACATGCATCTGTGTGAACAACTGTACACGTGGCGCAGTGTAACATGAAGAGAACATGCATCTGTGTGAACAACTGTACACGTGGCGCAGTGTAACATGAAGAGAACATGTAACCTCGTGAACAACTGTACACGTGGGCGCAGTGTAACATGAAGAGAACATATGCATCTGTGTGAACAACTGTATACGTGGGTGCAGTGTAACATGAAGAGAACATGTATCTGTGTGAACAACTGTACACGTGGACACAGTGTAACATGAAGAGAACATATGCATCTGTGTGAACAACTGTATACGTGGGCACAGTGTAACATGAAGAGAACATGTATCTGTGTGAACAACTGTACACGTGGGCACAGTGTAACATGAGGAGAACATGTATCTGTGTGAACAACTGTACACGTGGGCACAGTGTAACATGAGGAGAACATGTATATGTGTGAACAACTGTACACGTGGGCGCAGTGTAACATGAGGAGAACATGCATCTGTGTGAACAACTGTATACGTGGACGCAGTGTAACACAAAGAGAACATGCATCTGTGTGAACAACTGTACACGTGGGCGCAGTGTAACATGAAGAGAACATATGCATCTGTGTGAACAACTGTACACGTGGGCGCAGTGTAACATGAGAACAAGGCTGAGTATAAGGGGTGAGGAAGGACTGAGTGCAGGTGGTGGCCCTGAGTTATGAAGAGGACATGCGCTAATTGCTTTTCTAGTTGTAACGCTGATGGAGTTTGTTGGTTCAGAAGGAAGCTCTTGTTTGGGATCCTGTGGGAACCAGCAGTTGCCATAGTGCGCCCACAGACAGTTCTGTGTTATTGGTATGATATGGACATTTTGCTCATGTAGGAGGAAGTCCCTTCTTTCAAAAGGGTTAACAGGCCTCATAATACAACATCCTTTTCTGCTTTGGATAAAAAGGATCCTTGCCCACCCCTAGAGCCTGCTTTGATTGAATAAGATGATTTGTAAATCAGATGATTTGTAAATCAGAACATACTCTTAAATTTTTCAGATATCTTTTCCTTTTTTTTTTTTTTTTTGGATTTTTCGAGACAGGGTTTCTCCGTAGCTTTTTGGTTCCTGTCCTGGAACTAGCTCTTGTAGACCAGGCTGGCCTCGAACTCACAGAGATCCGCCTGCCTCTGCCTCCCGAGTGCTGGGATTAAAGGCGTGTGTCACCACCGCCAGGCTTCAGATATCTTTTTTTTTCTGTTTGTTTTGGATAGCAGAGAGTTACATCGTTAAGCTGTAGGTGGTATCTAATCATTATTTTATTTTGCATTGCAGTGAAAGCAACTTTTCTCCCAAATTCAATGAAAAGGATGGGCATGTGGAAAGGAAGAGCCAGAATGGCCTGTACGAGATTGAAAATGGAAGACCCAGGTGGGTGCTGGCATGTAGCGACTTAGTGTAAGTCTGGAGGGCGGTGAGGTGTTGGCGTTCACAGTGTAAGGGAAGTAATTAAATTTCCACAGAGCTCTGGGTATGCACATATAATTTTAGTTCTGTTTAACAGATTCAGAAAGAACGTTAGCAATTTGCACACAGCTAGTAAGTGACAGAATTTGAATGTATTGTTTCAGAATTTTATCTTGAAGGTTGAAATAATTGAATAAATTATATAAAGGGATTGCAATTTATGTTTTCAGTGGCTATTTATTAAGTGAGATAATGGCTTCTAGTAAGAATTTATGCAAACATGTAAGACATGAGAGCTAGAATGCTTTGCTGGGTGAGATTGTTCTGTGGGTGACGTCTCCACTGCAGTACTGACTACCTGCTCTGGGTGAGATTGTTCCGTGGGTGATGTCTCCACTGCAGTGCTGACTACCTGCTCTGGGGACTCTTAGTGGAGGGATTGACTTCTGTAACTTCTTCTCTAACCTGTACACACACATACTAAATAAAATGCAATTTAAAAAAGACAAGTAAAGCCCAATAATTTTAACATCAAGGCTCATTTTGCTCATCTCTCTTACGTGTCCATGAGTTTGAAGAAAAAATTATTGTCTGTATGTTTGTGAATTTAGTGCAAAATTAAAAAAAAAAAACCACTCAGTTTCGACAGCAGTAATGAACGTAGGCCTATGTGCAGATGCATAGAGCCGCCATTGTTTTCTGGGTTGTGGATTAGATCAGTTAGTTGGGCTTCCGGTGAGAGGGGTGGCACATGCCTTTAATCTTAGCACTTGGGAGGCAAAGGCAGACAGATCTTCTCTGCAAGTTCAAAGCCAGCCTGGTCTGCAGAGCAAGTTCCAGGGCGGCCAGAGCTGTTACACAGAGAGAAACCTTGTCTCAAAAAAAAAAAAAAAAAAAAAAAAAAACCCAAAAAAACCCAAAAAACAAACAAAAAGGGGACTGGGACTCTGTAGATAAAACTCGAGTTGTACAGGCGTAAAGACAGGAGTGTGGCCCTCCAGAGCCCACATAAAAGCCGAGCAGGCATGGTGGCTTCCTGTAACCTTATGACTCAAGAAAGGGACAGAGACAGGGTATCCCAGAGGTAAATTGACTTGCTGGGCTATCCCAGACTAGCTGATTTCCTCTTCCTTGATGAACAGAGAGCTGTTGATGATGACACCTCAGGCCAGATGTCTGCCTCATGCCTTCACACATGTACATGTTCACCTGCCAGCACACAAGCAAGCATGTATACACACATGCATGCTGTATCAAGCCAAACTTTAAAAAATGAATGCATTCAATTGACTGTATGTTGTTTGTGGTCTCTGTCCTTTTCCTTCCTAGAAACCCTGCAGGGAGGACAGGACTGGTTGGCCGGGGTCTTTTGGGGAGATGGGGCCCAAATCATGCTGCAGATCCCATCATAACCAGGTAAGAGCTGCGTGGGGTTCAGTAGCAGAGAGCGAAGTGCTTGGAAAATACAAATGTTAGCTCTGTGTGTGTGTGTGTGTGTGTGTGTGTGTGTGTGTGTGTGTTTGTGTGTGTGTGTATGTGTGTGCGCACGCGCACATACATGGGACTTTATGGGACATTATAGTGTGTGTGGAAGAACAAAGCTGTAGTTTTAGCTAGGAATTGTGGCTTATGTTGTAATCCCCATTCATGGGAGATTGAAGCAGGAGGGTTGACATGGATTTGGGGCCTGTCTCAAAGTCTCAAAATCAATCAGTCAGGTAATTAAGTTGTGGTTTTATGATGTAGGTGGACATCAGGTGTTATCTACCAGGCTTGTCCAGCTTACTGTCCACGGGCTGCATTCTGTACCCAGAGAAGGCTGTGAACGTGGCCCAATGCAGCACAGATGATTTGAATTGAGAGCTCATTTCTTGAGCATGAGCTTTGTAAATGACAAAATCATGTTGCAGTGTCAAAAGTTTGGACACATCTGGCAGTTATATATTAAACATCTTTTTTGTTTTGTTTTCCCCAGCTCTGAGTAGGTACTTTAGAGGGCATAAAAAAGTGTAAATATTAAAGTTTTGGTCATTTGAAGAGCTATAGCTTCATTTGCAAGGTGGAAAATTTAAAGTAAAATGCATGAAACCTGACCAACTGGAGACATGTTCCGAGAAATGCATTAGTCAGTTTCCTCATTGTGCGCCCGGTCACATCGTGCACTTATACAGCCTAGAGGATGCAGGCCAGTCATTCACTGTGGCCTCTTGATGCACGAGACTTACTGCATGTGAGACGTAGGAGACAGCTGGAGTAACATGTTGTAGTGTCTTATAGTAAACTTGCTTGTTTGTTAACTTGACGCCATTACAAAGAATCCAGGAGCTTTCATTAGAATGCCACCAGACAGACCTTGAGGGCATCTCAGGAGTGGCAAGTTACTCCCACCCCTGACCTCAGACATCTGAAAGGGCACAGTTACTGACAGTCTTACGTTAGAAGGGAGCCGTGGGGCACCATGTTTGCACAGGGACGCTGCCCTTTGCAGAGAATGGTCCTGAAGGAGAATGATCTGTGAAAGCCGTCCATACCTTCAGTTTCAGATGAGTGAGTGGATTAAGTATGGCACAGGTAAAGTAGCGGATGGTAACAGCATTTTAGCTGAGCTCTGAGTCATTCTGTTTCCCTTGAGTCACCCCCATGCCTCTGTGGAAATAAGGGAGCTCTCTAAAATGCTAGCAGGCTGTGACATTCTCTGCTGAACAAAATTCTTGGCTCTCTTCAGAACACGGAATTCAGAATCGTGCTGTGTAGCCATTCGCTGGCTTCTTCAGCTTCATGCTCCACCCCCTTCTCACTTGCTCATAGAGCCAGACCTGAGTAGATGCTCAGTTTTTTGGACCAGTATCTTATTGCTTTGTATCTTTCTTATGTTATTTTTGGGTCTGCACTAAGTATTCTTTTAATTTATGTTTCCTGTGCTCCTCAGTCTGAAACCTTTCTTATAATGCAGCACTTTAGGGTTTGGCTCTGCTCCTTCAAGAGGACTTGTGGGTTAGATAAATGTGGAGACCTATCCACACTAGTGTGCTTTCACGTCTCTTCTAGAGTGAGAATCTCAGCATAGACTTTTCCTTTCCTTTTGTTACTGGAAGTACAAAGTTCTTATCTTTGTCTTGAAGACCAGTTTTACAAAAAACCTTGAAGTTGGAGGTGTAGGTTAGGAAGGGGAGGGGAGACTTGTCTTTGGAAAAGAGGATATGGTTAGAAAACACGTGTTCTGGACTGGCCATTCCGTAACCATGTAATTTAATTCAAGACATAATAGGATGGAGCTCCCCCCCCCCCCATAGCCTAAAGATGCTATAAAGACTGAAAAGTACTATTTTACAGTCAGCTAAAACTACTGGTAGCCTGGTTTTCTGATATCCAGGGTGAAGTGATCAATAGAAGTATTGCCAGGTCTTTTTTATCATTTCATGCAACACATTTGAAAACCTTTCCTTCAAGTTATGTTCTGCTTTTAAATGTTTTTTTTTGACAGACTTTAAGTAGTAAGAATTATATATAATCTAAATTCTTCTTAAAAAGAATACAACATCCTTGTGTGAAGTAAACTTCCTAAATATAGCATTTTTCTAATAAAGACAGTCTTTTAAACTGGTGGTTTTGGATAAATAAGTACTTTGTTATATAGAGAACATCTTTATGGTGTCGGCACAGGTGTGAGCTGGAACCTTGTCTTCTGTCCCTGTTCACAGGTGGAAAAGAGATGACAGTGGCAATAAAATCACACATCCTGTTTCCGGGAAATGCATCTTACAGTTTGTTGCAATAAAGAGGAAAGACTGTGGAGAGTGGGCCATCCCAGGGGTAAGCACGGCCCCACCATCTGCTGATGCTATCACTGTTCATTGCTGAGCTCGCTCACTGTGAAGCTCCTGTGCCAGGAGGCTGCCCCTTCATGCCCCACCACAGTCCTCACCATAGAGTTTAGAATGCTGTAAGCTTTTTGGATTCAAGTACAATTGTAGTGTCTTTGGAAAGAACATGAACTTTTGGCTAGATAGAGGCTCATGTTCTGCTCTGTGCACTGGCTGCTGGGTGATGGAGTCCAGGTTTTTATCATTACAATGAAGGTAGGCCCCATTTACCTTAGAGAGATAGCCAGTGAGTATTTGACATATGGGTAGCACTCGTAACTTAAGGTCTATCTCAGTCCCCTACTTGAAACTCAGTTATATATTGTTGGAGGGAGATTGCTTGTTCTTTCCGACTTCCCAACTAGCTTAGACCTGAAAAAATCACACAGAAGCTGTATTAATTAAAACACTGCTTGGCCCATTAGCTCTAGCTTCTTATTGGCTAAGTCTTATATTAATTTAACCCATTTCTATTAATCTGCATATCACCTTGTGGCTGTGGCTTGCCAGGTAAAGAACCAAGCATCTATCTCTGGTGGCTTTATGGCTTTTCTCTGACTCCACCCTTCTTTCTCCCAGCATTCAGCCTAGCTTTCCCTGCCTACCTAAGTTCTGCCTTGCTATAGGTCCAAAGCAGTTTCTTTATTCATTAATGGTAATCACAGCGCAGAGAGGGGACTCCCACATCACTTCCCCTTTTCTAATTAAATAAAAAGGAAGGTTTTAACTTTAACATAGTAAAATTACATATAACAAAACAGGTATCAAACAAGAATTACAGTTACAATATTTATATCTACTCTATCTTTTATCATAACTAAGGAAAACTATAACTATAATATTACCTGAGTAAACAGGAAGTACATTGTAAGCAACTTCCAAAATTCTAGAATTGACAGAGACATCTTGCTACCTGGACGGACACTCAAAGTTCTTCTGTACCATTGGGGCATCCATCTTCAGCCTACAGTCCCATAGTATCCAGCAGACTTTTCCATGAAGCAGGAAATCTTAAAGAAAGACACTTCCGCCTATATTGGCAGTTTTAGTCACTTTCTTCTGTGTCCTGAAGAATGTCTTGCATACTCTTTCATGAAGCAGGAACCCCGAAGGATCGTCTCACCTTTAAACAAGTTTAGCCGTCATTTCTCTGTGGGTCCCGAATGTCCAGTTCATTAAGCAGTCCAAGCAAGAACAGTTTCTTGCCCAAATGGCTAGCCAACTCCATAAGAAGCCTCTTCGATGCCCATCTTTCTCTTGAAGTAATTGGTGCTGCCAAGAGCAGATGTGTCTCACTGTCAAAAGTCCTAAGTTATTAAAACATTTTAAATCCCACATTCTGTAGTCTTTGAAAGATTTGAAGAATGCCTGTCTAACTGAAATATATCTCTATACGTCTCGAAAATCTAACTAACATGACTACAAGTTTGACTATTATAGATGAGTATCTATTAACTTATATTTCTTCATTATACATTACATTTTTAAATGACCTACACAAACACAATACCTTAATCAAGATCAAAAATATATATACATATAACAAAATTGACCTTAAATTTGTATCAATAAACCAAGATCCATACCAGTGCAAATTATTCATATCTATATTATATCCCCCTTTAAATATAAACAAACATTTATAGACAATATTTGGTAATATGGGCATAGTTTTCTTCATACTGCTTCCTACTGATTGTTGGGCATAGTCATTTTTGGGGGGTGTTCACAGCAACCTTTAGGGGGTCTTGTTCCATCAATCCACACCAGTCTGGAAGCAAGCCACAGGCTCTCATCCTTTGTGGAAACAAGAGAAGAGCCTCTTTTCCAAGGCATCATATCCTTAGACCCAAATTTGGAAGTGGCTTACCAGGTAAAGATCCCAGCGTCTGTCTCCAGTGGCTTCTTGGCTTCTCTCTGACTGCGACCTTCTTTCTCCCAGCATTCAGCCTAGCTTTCTCTGCCTACCTAAGTTCTGCCTTGCTATAGGTCCAAACAGTTTCTTTATTCATTAATGGTAATCACAGCACACAGAGGGGACTCCCACATCAATATACATTTAGTATTTCTTACTGAATTCTTATAATTTTTAAACATAATAAGAAGATAACCACTTGTTACAAACTTTTCCTTAAAGTTCATATCACCATCAGGAAGAGTGTACTTATAGCCCATATTGACTTTGTGCCGTATTTGAAGATACATATATCATATGCGTGGTAGAGGCTTTATAGTTTGTCTTATTGTGAGGTGGAGGTAGTCTGAGGGAAGATGAGTTTTTATGAATATACTGCAGTCAGTAAGAATATGTCTTTCTTTGAGGTGTAAAAGTGGAATGGAATTACAGACCGTAGCTGCTGGTCCAAGCTTAGGCCGATCCGTGTGTACCAGACCACTCATGCTGAATGCAATGACACAAGAATGAGTTCATCGTAGGGCATTACAGTTTTTATTGTCATTTGAAATTTGGTCAAGGAAGCCACTGTTGTTATTGATACATTTCCTTAATCATTCTCTGCCTTTGTCAGTTAATATTGTAGGCATTGAGATATAACAGAGCGATATATACATTACAATCCTGTGGGAAAGGCAGGAAGGACAGGAAGTCAAAGGGACTGAGAGATTGCAATTGTAGCTACAGCTAGAGAAGGCCTTCGGGGAACGTGACATTTAAAGGGTGTAATGAAGCAAATTTCAGTTTCTATGGAGAAGCAAACATTGGGGTTTGCAGCAGCTCTCAGATGCAGTGTTGCTGGTATCTTCTGAGGAAGCCATCATGGCTGGATGGATCAGACAGTGCTGTTTTCTTGCCTCCAGGCCTTGTAGTTTGGGTTTAGATAGTACCAAGAAATGAATTTGCTTGCCAGAGTTTGCTGTAACCTCACCCTGGACCATTGCTGTGGCCGGTGTGTGTGTCACCTCTCTTGGGTGCTTCTGCTGGGAACAGATGGTTTAAGAAGCTCTTGTTACAGAGGGGTGGGGATAACCATTGTGGGCAAAGACAGTAATACTTGTTTATTGTACCAGTCAGTGAATTCGGTCGAATGAACCAAAGCTTTCTACTTCTTAAAACTGTGCCCATAGGGTATGGTAGACCCTGGAGAGAAGATCAGTGCCACACTGAAAAGGGAGTTCGGTGAGGAGGCCCTCAACTCTTTGCAGAAGTCCAGTGCTGAGAAGAGAGAGATCGAGGAGAAGCTGCACACACTCTTCAGCCAGGAGCATCTCGTGGTAAGGGGCCCCGGGGAGGGAGGCTCTGCCAAGGGCTGTGGCCTGACGGCAGGGAACTTGGGGTCTGCTCACAAAGCAGATTTTCCTTAATGTTTCTATCCTGGCTTTAGCTCATTTGATCATTTACTGCGTTTTTTTCCCTCTAATTTTTCTTCAGCAAAGGACTGAACTTGTGTGACAAAAAAAAGCTCTTTTCTAACACACCAGGAAGTCAGTAAGCAGATCTCTTTGTTTACAGGAATCCAGCTTGTTGTGAAAGGCCATTTACATCTTAGACTTGTTTTTTACAAGGTTTTTTTTGGGGGGGGGGGTTGCTGTTTAAGTTTTATGCCTATATTTATTATCTATATACTCTGTTATTCAAAGAAAATATTCACAGAAAGCCTTTGGGCATCAATAATTGGGATCTCTTTATTTTTTTCTTTTTGTTAGGGTTGTAACATGTAGCTCTGGTTGGTTCAGTATTTGCTATGTAACCTGGGCTATCCTCGGATTTGTGTGTGTGTGTGTGTAAGGTTGGAGGAGAGAAGACTTAGGTCTGGTTCTTCAGGTGCCATTTACTTTGCATTGGTTTAGGTCCATCTTACTGGTTAGGTCCGGCTGACAGGTCAGGAGCCCCAGGTCCAGGGATCCACGGGTCTCCTGTGTTTTCCAGCATTCACCTTACTGACTGAGCCCTCTTCAGCCCTGGGCTGGGCTTCTTAATTTTCTTCCTTGGCCTCGCAAGATAATTTCTGTTTGTTATGTATGCTGTTTGTTATGTATGTATGTATGTATGTATTGCTGTCTGTTATGTATGTATGTATTTCTGTTTGTTATGTATTTCTGTCTGTTTATGTATGTATTTCTGTCTGTTATGTATGCTGTCTGTTATGTATGTATGCATTTCTGTCTGTTATGTATGCTGTCTGGCTCATTTACCCACATTGTGTTGATAGCTAGAACTAAATTTTTCCTTTTATCAGTAAGCTTTAAATTTCAATTTTCAGATTTCTCTCTGTTTCCTAGGTTTATCATATTCTTCAGCATATGAAACTATAATCACAGAAATTGTTAAAACAGAAAATACTTAGACTATGGACATGGCCCAAGTTGACTGTCTCAGTTTCCTCTTGGTGCTGTTGAATTCGGGGTTCCAGCACACAAAGCGTATTCTACCACTAGGCTCATCCCCAGCCCACTCAGATTCTGTGATACTGAGGATTCTGTGAATTCCACAGCTGCCACAAAAGAAGAATATTGTCCCCTTAGGAAGATAAAAAGTCTATGAAGCCATGATAAAGGTTCTATGCTATTTACATTTCTTTGTAATCATTTTGGGGATAAAATCTGTATCATTGTGTACAATCTTATCTGCTTTAAAGTGTTCAGTTCAGCAGTGTTAAGTGTGTGTCAATTAACTGCTCTCCCACTCACTCCCATCTCAGCCTAGACTGTTGTCTCTCTGTCCCCCTACATAGATATATAAGGGGTATGTTGACGATCCTCGGAACACTGATAATGCGTGGATGGAGACAGAAGCTGTGAACTACCACGACGAAACAGGTGATTCTAATCTTAAATGTGTCCATTGACTAGAGTTGAGGCCAGCTGAAGCCAAGATGTCTCCTAGGACGTCATTACAACTAGTATCTGAGCTATTTAAACTGTTAACTGTTGCGTTTAGGGTTGTGTGTATCTGCGAGTGAAGCTGTTAGTATTAAAAGAGCTCTGAGAACAAAGCCTGTGAAGTTTGTCTGCAGTGACTAAACATCCTTAATCTGTCGATGGCAGTGGGGTTGGAGTTACAGGCTAACAATAATGCGATTTAAAGCCAGCAATTGTTTACTACATTTATTAAGCTTTAATTAAATTTATCTAAACAAAAGCAAAAGCAAGTGAAAATTTGGGCAGGGCAGTTTGGCATGAGGTAAGAAATGGAATTTACATTTACCCTGTGTGGTGTGCCGTCCTGGTGATGCGGCCTCGGGTGCTGTGAGTCTGTAATAAGCATGTGTTGCTGAGCAAGGGCGTTTCCTCATCTGTAGGTCTTGGGACTTAGAGACAGTTTGTAACTACAGAAGAGAAGGGAACCTGCTGTTTCAGAGTGACTTACGGTCTTTATACATCTGCTGGCTCCTCGGAACATCCTTCCTTGCTAAGCTGAGTGGTGTTTTAAGCATTTGGCCTTCATTTAAGGAGTAATTAAATGAGGCTGTGTTGAGAGAACTCCGTGTTCTGGCTCTTTGCTGAGCTGCCTGATCTTATGCTAATCACTTGTCCCTGGACCAGAGGCTTAGATGTGGGAGGTCTCCTTTCACTCAGCCTGTTCTTGGCCTTGGGGAAACTCTAGCACCAAATCCTTTCTCTATGCAGCAATTCTGCCTAGAACTTAGAAGCCGCATGTGAATGGAGTTTAGATAGGGTTTCTACAGTTTAACTGCACACAACTCATTATTTGCAAGGGTAAAAAAAATGACCTTTTCTCCAAAGATTGAAGGTGGATTTTTTTTTTTTTACCTGATGGGTGATTGATCTTTCTCTGTAAAAAGAAAACTCTTTGCCCATAAATTCCAAGTCTTTGGCTCTTGCTTTTACCTATTTAGATGGGCTGTGGTTCATCTAACAAAAGGAATTAAGGCAAGTAGACCTGTGGGCACTAGGCCTCCATCTCTACTCTTCCTCAGACCTTTGGGCATCTTAGAGACTTCTTGGTAAGGTGGTCTAAGGTGTGCTGTTCTCTTGGTTGAATCCTTTACTGCTAATATAATTGTGCATAGAGGCAGTAAACTATATGCCCCAGGCTGGCTGCTCTTCCCCTTCCCTGCCATGACGGGATTTTCTACCCACAGGACTGGCAGTGTGGATATGAGAGCTGTTTGTTTTCAGGCCAGTTTTCTTCTCACTAGAGGTGGCTGCTGATGTCTGCATGCATTTAAATATTAATCAGGTGACCAGAGGAGTGAAAGAAAGTCTAGATATTGTTAGTTCATATAAAACAGCGTGCCAGAGGAACTGACTGTACTGCGCTATTAGGACACTTTAAATCTGTGAGTCCCAACCTTCCCAATGCTACAGCCCTTTAATGCACTTCCTTGTGTCGTGGTGATCCCCAAGCATAAAATTATTTTTGTTGCTACTTCATAGCTGTAATTTTGCTCCTCTTATGAGTTGTAACATAAATATCTGTGTTTTCTGATAGTCTTAGGCAACCCCTGTGAAAGGGGTCGCAACCTCAGGTTGAGGATCTCTACTTCAGCTTCATGGCAGCTGTGTGTCTCTCAGTCTGTGGAGGTGTTGGCAGCTGGAGTGTGGGTCGATGTAGAGCTGGGATGCTGGTGCCTGCTTTTAGAGCCGTGGCCAGAGCATTGTCTTCTTAAGAAGGACTTCTGTTGTCTAACTGTACTGGTGATTTACATAGGTAAAATAATTGATACTTAGAGAATAGATGATGTAAAGAAGAAAATATAAACCATCACCTTCAGTTACTAGTTTGCATAGCTTCCTCCAAACTTTGTGCACCTTCACAAATACACAGATCAAAGGTGCTTCGGCTGCTTGGTGTGTCACGTAAAAGAATATTGTGGCCACTTGATGGCAACAAATGTGGGCTGGCCTCACGTGGCCCAGGCTGTCCTGAGCTCATCTATAGCCCAGGCTGTCCTGAGCTCATCTATAGCCCAGGCTGTCCTGAGCTCAGTATATAGCTTAGGCTGGCCATGATCTCGTGGTCAATCTTCCTGCCAAATACTGGGATTCCAGTCATGAACTACCTACTGTGTTACGTTTAGTGATGGTGGTGGTCCATTGTTTATCTCTATCATTTTTTTCACCTGTATCACAGGGGTGTAAAGTTTGATCCGGTCCATTTTTAAGAATGAGATATGGTGCAGGGTACAACAGTTAAGAGCACTGACCGCTTTTCCAGAGGACCTGGGTTCAACTCGCAGTACTCTCATTGTGACTCATGTGTCTGTAACTACAGTTCCAGGGATGCTGGTGCCCTCTTCTGGCCTCTTCCAGCACCTGGCACACATAGAAATAAATAAAAATTAAAGAACATAGTATATAATACTAAATGTCTATATACATACATAAAACATGCACATAAATGCCTTAAATGTCCTCTGGATCATTGTTTTTGAGACAGAGTCTCATTACATAACCCAGGCTGACTGAGCTGTTGGCAGACTCCTGCCTCAGTTCTCTGCGGTGCTCAGGGTACTGCAGTAGGCCATCACACCTTGTTTAACGTTAAAAGTCTGGTCCTTTAGGTGTTCTGAAAGTTATAATCAAAATCATCTCTCTAGGGAGAGTTCGTCTTTAACACACTGGGTAATAATCAATATGATCTCCCCAGGGAGAGTTTGTCTTTAACACACTGGGTAATAATCAATATGATCTCCCCAGGGAGAGTTCGTCTTTAACACACTGGGTAATAATCAATATGATCTCCCCAGGGAGAGCTTGTCTTTAACACACTGGGTAAACATTGACAGCTTATCCTGTAGGAAGAGCATTTGCATCTCTGACAGTGATGGCATTTCTATATGTGTAATACAATTATAGATATATTGTATTCTAGTTTCCAATTTGGCATCTAATTATATAACTTAAAACAACAAAATGAGTTATAGATTTGCTTTTTAGGTTTTTTATATTTAACTCTATAATCCTTTTGGAATCTGTTTTTGAAAAGGCTTTCATATAGTGTGGCATCTCTCTTCCTCTCAAAGGAATAGTCTTTAAAGAGAAAAATTTTCAACTAATATTTAATCAGTTAAAATTTAGAAATTTTGGAATATTCTGGTTTTTAATCCTTTGGCTATTTAGTAACAAAGATTTAATCTTATTTTTAGTAAGACAATTTGAGGATACAGAATTACATTTTAAAAAAAAGGCAGAATAAACAAATTTTCTTTCTTTTGGTGTGTTGCTTCTTTGCAACCCAGGGGAGACCATGGACAAGCTCACCCTGGAGGCCGGAGATGATGCAGGGAAGGTGAAGTGGGTGGACATCAGCGACCAGCTCAAGCTCTATGCCAGCCACTCTCAGTTCATCAAACTCGTGGCTGAGAAACGAGATGCGCACTGGAGCGAGGACCCTGCCACTGATAGCCACGGACCGTAGCTTGTCCCCAGAGACCACCTGGGAGCACTGCAGACGGCAGGGTCGCAGCACTCACACGCCACAAAAGACACTCGGAAATGTTTGCAACTCGGTAAAGTGAGTGAACCCAGGGAAGTAGAACTCTGAATTTTAAACTTTCTTCTCAGAGGATTAGAGATCAACAGATTTTGTATGTATGAACAAAAGCATGTCCGAACAAAAATAACAAATGTTCTCTGAAGAATTGTAAATAAAATAAAAATAAAACCCAGCTGCTGGTGACTTGTGTTTCTAGTTCTTATTTTTAGCTTTCCCCTCTGCCCTTGAGCTGAGTGATCCTTCTGAACTAGACTTCTTTTGGAGGGCGCCACTTCACACGTGCTGTTAATGCCTGACTTGATTTCCTTTAAACCATTGGCTTTGTTTTTGTTTTGTTTCTTGTGCGTGCAGTGCCCAAGGAGGACAGAAGAGGGCGTTGGCTCCCCGGAACCTAGATTTACATGTGGTTCTGAGCCTCCATGTGTGTGCTGGGAATGAAACCCCTGTCCTGGAAGAGCAACCAATACTCTTAACTGCTCAGCCATCTCTCCAGCCTGAGTTGCCAGTATTACAATGGCATTGCAGTTACTGCATATTCTCTCTCTCTTTCTCTCTCTATTTTGAGGCAAAGTCTTATTGATCTTTGGTCAAAGATCAAAGTCAGTGAATAGACATTCCTATTCTCCTTTTTAGAATATTTAAATTTTAAAAATATGCCCAGGTGAATTAGTGATTCCTAGAACTGTCACTTTACAGTGACTGCTTCTGACAAAGATTCCTAGAGCTGTCACTTTACAGTGACTGCTTCTGACAAAGAATAGACATAGAAGGGAATTGTTCAGGTTAGCAGGGAGCCTTTGTGAGTTCAGGTGGCTTTGTGGATAATATTAAGGATTGAAGGAGCTTCTTTGAGAGGTGCCTGCTAATATTACAATGCCTGATGGAAGGGAGAATGTGTTGGTGGGGTCCCTCGGAAAGAAGGGGAAGTAATGCCATCTGACCACAGTGAGCCAGGTGTCACCTGCTGGCCAGGGCTGTCATCTGGCATGTTCAGTTAGCCTGAACGAGAGGCCCATGCTTGCTGGATTCCATTTGGATTCCAGCGGGACCTCTGAAGACTCCGGCGTACAGAAAGGGGGTGTGATAGTTTTGTCTTGAGATTTGAGATTAAAGGTCACTCCAGCCAGAGGGAAGGACAAAGGGGGTGGGGTATATGCCAGGACCCTGCATGGTAGACAGCTGGGCTGAGCTGGTCGCAGCCTTTGCAGCCCGCTGAAGTCTGCTGAGGAGCTCTGAGACCTGGATTTCAAGGTAAATCCAGAAACACCTGGCCCTCAGGTGTGTCACGGGCACTTGGACCCGATGAGGATGGGTGCTCAGGAGGCACTGGGTGAAGCAGGCTTGGAGAGAACGCCATTTCCCAGCACCGAGACTGAGCTCCTTTCTAAGGCTCTCGAGAAGCTTTGAGCAGCCACAAAACACGTGCACTGAAAGCCACACAGATGTTTTAGTGACAATTTTATTTAGAGCAGATGGTCTGTAGATAATAGATTTCGCTGTGCTGTTTGAAGTTTCACAGAACTTTCTTCAGAGTATTCAAGATGGTAAGACTGTTCCAAGCTGCATATAACTTAGAACGGGTAACCTGGACAAAACTCAGCACCACCTGCAAATAGAGAAGACATTCAAACCACTGGCTTCTGGCCTTCCTGTCAGGAGTGTCTGCTTGTGGTTACCAGTGGTCCCCCACAGTCACTGGTGGTCCCCCTGTTCTTGCTTATGTCTGAGGTCACTGGTGGTCCCTGTTCTTGCTCATGTCTGTTTGCGGTTACAAGCCTGCGTTTGGAGTGAAGTTTTTCTCTCTAGGAGACCTTAGTAGCATCAGTAGGGATGCTAGATAGTGCCGAGTATTGCTCCATCCTCAGGTGTTTTACAGATGAAGCAGCTGGCGTTACAGATTGCTCAAGACTTTCTCCCCCAAGGGACGGAGCTGAGATTCGATCCCAGTCTCCCTAGCCCCAGAGTGTGCTCTTTGTCAGCTGTGTTCCCTACCCGAGTTCTGACCCTGAGGTGTTCCTAAAGGAGGCAGTCAGTCCTGTGGACTGTGTGTAGTGGTGTAGATCCCTTACAACAGCTGGGCTTATGTGAACCACGTATTGCGTGCTTTTTAACGGCTTTGTCTGGTCAAGTTGAATTCAAATTCAACTGATGAAATTATGCACAGCTGTGGGCCGAAGACAGTCTATTTCAGGGTTTCTTAACTGAGGATGATGGCCGCAGTCAGTGTGTGCCTGACACAGGCGCTCTTGAGTTTTTGAAAACATTCAGACATAAATATTTATCCTAATTTTACTTAATGTCATAGTTGTCTCGAAAGTTAAAAGTGTGGTAGATAAAGAAGGAATTTGAAAACTCCAGCTATTTTCCAAGACATCTGGTGTTAAAATGATTAGTTTTAATATATCCAGAACTTCTGTGATGCATATTCTAAGACATTTCTGGAGTTTTTCTAAATACATTTATGTTTTATTGCGGGTGGGACCAGGACCTTACACATGCCAGGCAAGAACTCTTCCCACTGAGCCACACCCCAGCCCGCTTAAAACACAGTTCGACTACATCCTTTGAGAAACACACCCTTCGCAGTTGAGTTGCTCTTCTGAATTCTTGCCCTTTTCATGGCATTCATTTATTCACACAGACATTGTCTGTGGTGATAAAACCCTTACAATAAACTACATACGAGGTCATGGCCGACTTCTGGGGATTTACTCACCATGTGTGACTTCGGCTGTAACCGAGAATTATTTCTGTTGAAATAGCCAGCACAGTAATAGTTAATACGCGAGACATTGTCAGGGTTCCTCCTCCGCCTCCACCCGCCTCTCCCGTTTCGTGGTTATTTTGTTGATGTGTTAATAGTCGTGTGATTGGGGGATTGGCATAGAAAATCCTGTGCTTTGATTATTGGTACATGCTGAAAAACTGTGATCTTCCTGTAACATATAGCAGCTTATTTCTCCCACATGGGGAGTGGTGGGCTGATGGAGGGAGGTCCTCACAGTGGTAAAGAAATAACTAGTAATATCCCACGGCAGCAAAACTTATTGCATGGAAGGCTAGTGGGTGAAAAGCCAATTTCCCCCCCTCAAAATTGGGGTTGAGAATTGCCTTGAGGACAGGACAGAGCTACCTTTGGTCATTTTACAAAAGGCTTTTCTCATTCGGTTACTCCGAGTTGCCCATTAGACAGAAATCCAAGGTAAAGTACAATTATTTGAAAGTTCGTGGCTTAATGTTGTGTTGATTTCTATAACCTTAAATTTGTGAACCCTCCTTGTGTATCTGTCAGGATACTCACTGATGGAGACGCAGGAACTCTGATCTAAAGGTCTGGGAACTGAATTCATTATGCCGTGGGTTGTAACTGACTGATTCTGTCTTATGCTTTTGTAGCTTAGAAGAAAGTCTCTCTTACCTGACATTGGATGTCACTTAGTATAATCAGAAATAGAATCTTACCCCAAGGAAGCCCTGAAAATAAGGAAAGAAAAGAATTAAATACCAGCATCAGTTCCCTAGTGAGTTTGTGGTTTATAAAAAACAGATTTACCTGCAGTTGGTTCAAAATCGAAGTGATTAGCTGCAAAGAAGCAAAGGAGAGAACCGTCAGTGGGTTTGCCCTCTGGTTTCTATTTGCCGTCGTCCACGCATTAGGTAAAGTGTTTTGTACATAAATGCTTCCTTGAAAATGATATTTTATTTAAGATTTTCAAATGAAGATATTTAAATTTATTCAATTTACATAGGTACTTCTCTCCACCTTCTAACTATCTACTGTATTTCAAAGTTAGAAAGTCAAAGAAGCAAGTGATGGTTTTGTCGTGGATATGAGCGTCTGTTGAATGATCTCCTTTGGTACAGCTATGAATGTGTGCTTTGTCTTGAGGGTTTGCTTGCACAGCTGTTTCGCTGGAAATGGGCTGCTTAAAACTCAGCAGCTTGTTCAAGAAACTGACTTGGTGGAAGTGGTGAATCCCTCTTTAAGGCTCCTGTCCCAGAGCATAAGAAACTGACTTGGGGCCGGGCGGTGGTGGCGCACGCCTTTAATCCCAGCACTCGGGAGGCAGAGGCAGGCGGATCTCTGTGAGTTCGAGACCAGCCTGGTCTACAAGAGCTAGTTCCAGGACAGGCTCCAAAACCACAGAGAAACCCTGTCTCGAAAAACCAAAAAAAAAAAAAAAAAAAAAAAAAAAAAAAAAAACTGACTTGGTGGAAGTGGTGAACCCCTCTTTAAGGCTCCTGCCCCAGAGCCTGTAGGAATAGTGAAGCCAACTGAGTGGACACTGGCCAGCTTCAGTGGTTCTTATGCATGAACAGCACTCTGGGTAGTGAGTGTTGGAAGAGGGCAAGAAAGGGGGAGAAGGGAAAGTGAGAGAGGAAAAGTGTGTGTGTGTGTGTGGGGGGGGTTCTGAGTAGACACTGTCATTGGCTAGGTAAGGCAGTTCTGTAAGATTGGTTAGATGTTTTAAGAAGGCCTCTGGTAATTTGAACGAATCAGATTCTCTGAGGAGAGGATACCCCAGAAGTCTGGCAGGGTCCGTATTTTCCGTGCTGGAGGACAACTAATCCACAAAACTGGTCCAGCTCTGCAAGTGAGATCAAGACCCGTTTCCCATCCCTGACTGCTCGGTGCTTCTGTGGCCAGGCTTGCCTGGGAAGGAGCCCTGCTGAGTTCATAATCACCGGTAATCACCCTGAAGGCTCCATGAAGCACACTTCGCAAGTGTGTTTGGCGTTTATAGATTTGCTCTCTGGGAATGGGCTGTGATGTTTAAACAGGGTGCTGTGGGAAGAGTACCAGTTGCCTGAACTGAAATTGGCTTTAGGCTTCCCGGTATGTTTAAGTGATCTTCAGGATGACTTGAACCAGTTTCTATTTTATCTCTCATACAAACTATTCTGGCCCAGCTTTCTGACCCTTAAAAGAATACTGCATGTCTGTTTCTTTTTTTTGGTTTTTCGAGACAGGGTTTCTCTGTGGCTTTGGAGCCTGTCCTGGAACTAGCTCTGTAGACCAGGCTGGCCTCGAACTCACAGAGATCCGCCTTGCATGTCTGTTTCTAAGACACTATTAACTATGAAAATGTTTTATTAACAGCTTCTAAAAGAGTAGCATGCATTTTCTTCATTGTGAAATGTGCTCCTATTTCAGAAACGTGTGTCTTTTAGATAGAGAAATGGAACTTTGTAGTTTTTTCTTTTGTGATTCTATTCAAAGCATTCCTCTGACATGCTCTGATCTATGGTACTTACTAACCAATAAACAGTTTGTTTATCAGATGAGTCATGTGCAGTTGATTAAAAAACATCTTTTGGACCTGACATGGTGGTATACACCTTTATACCAGCACTGCGGAGGCAGAGGCAGAGGCAGAGGCAGGTGGATTGCTGTGAATGTGAGGCCAGCCTGGTCTACATGGTGAGTTCCAGGCCATGTAGAGAGACACTGCTTCAAAAACAAACAGCCCTCTTCAGGGGTTTAGATGTGGGAATGTTCCACGTGGTATGTGTTTGTGGCAACTCGTTAGTAATGGAATCTAATCTCCTAAAACGCTCTATTTTGTCCCTCTCTCCTGCATCCTCGCTCATCAAATGTGTCAGTCATAGAAGGTGTGGTCTTGTCACTTTATAGTGCAGTGAATTGAACCGAAGGAAAGAGTTCTTCCATGTGCCTGGCTGTATTTGGGTTAAACAGGCGTCCTTACCTTGTATCGGATGAACTGAGTGAGCCCAGTGGCTTTCAGAATGAATAGCTCATTTTGTTTGGTATTAAGGGCTACATTCTTAGATTCCCGATAGATCAACAGAGCAAAATATACTTACCGTTATAAGTTGACTAGGTGTCAGAACCTTGAATAGAAGAAACAAAATAATCCAAGAATTATAATTTAGCATTTCAACTTTGAGTTACAACTTCAAGTTAGCCTGGTAAATGGAAACATGCTTTTAAAGCCCTTAGCATTTCTAAAATTCCATCATTAAATCCTCACCTCTGAGAGTTTACAAACCCTCCTGTACCCTTTTCCAAACCATCTCTGGGAATGAGCACTCTACAGTTTGCTTTGTGGACTCAGCATGGTAGGGAGGGCAGGATCTCTCATGCGGGTGCATTGCATTATACTTAGGAGAAGTTCCATGAAAAATAGCCAATGGCTATTCCTCACAAGTTCAATAGTGTTTAAAGATTGGATTACAGCCAATGGCTATTCCTCACAAGTTCAATAGTGTTTAAAGATTGGATTACAGCCAATGGCTATTCCTCACAAGTTCAATAGTGTTTAAAGACTGAGTTACAGCCAGTGGTTATTTCTCACAAGTTCAATAGTGTTTAAAGACTGAGTTACAGCCAGTGGTTATTTCTCACAAGTTCAATAGTGTTTAAAGACTGAGTTATAGCCAATAGCTTTTCCTCACAAGTTCAATAGTGTTTAAAGATTGAATAACCATAGTGTAATAAAGACACAGATTTTTTTCTTTTTGGTTCATAGCTGAATATATCATCTTACAAATAACTATCACTACTTGAGGAAAACCTTGTTAAAAATACAAGGTAAACCAACACACCTTTTGTACTGTTCTAACCTTACCCTTAACTAGAGCGCTAGGATATGCTACGTTCAGTAAGGTCACATCCCTGTAAGTGTAAGTGCAGCAGCCTCCAAGTGAGAAGAGCGTTCGAACCCTCCCTGCCCCATCCCCTCCAGAGGCTCAGACAGCCAGTGCTTCTGCCTCCTCAGGCTGTTCTCCAGTTAGTGCTGCTGGCCCCCTGTTCCCTCCATGTGGTCACAGCTTGGCTTAGGCACTTCAGCCTTCAGGGATATGTGGGATTGTACATCCCATTCTTTAAATCAAACAAAACAAGTTTTAATTAGTCAAGTAGATATCTTCTTAAAGGAAATTTTAAATATATTTACCTGATTTGGATCAAAAGGGAAGGGAATCGGGATTGGAATCTACAAGAAGGAAAAAAAAAAGGTGAACTGTGAGTGAACCAAGCCAGGCTTGTTTTCCTCTGCTGTTTTCTGTTCTTCATTCATGCAGCACCGTTTTAGCCTTCTGTGTGTGCTGAGAGTCTTAGGCCTCTGGGCCCAGGGTGCCAGTAAATAAGGCTACTGTCCTTCGGGAACTCTGGATTTGATATACTATTTTTCTTTTAGGAGCTATAATTATTTTGATTAATTAAACACGGTGTCTAAGGTTCTGTTGAAGGTTCTTGCAACCCCACCAATTTCTCTACCAGAGACCACTCTGCTCTTTTCTGAACCCAGGCGCCCTCTGCTGGCCGAGGGAGCTTCCACATCACAGACTAAGGATTTCTTTTTGTTGCTCAGGACCTGTCTTTGGGGGGTGTTTGACTGACAGCCCACCAGTGTTGCCTTTGTGTCTGGGAGCATGTATCAAAAGGACCCGTCATGCACTTAGTATTTCTCCAGCCCTCACTGAGACGATTATAAAGTCCCAACTATTCAGAGACACTGAGGGTGTCAGCAAGAAGGTCAAAGTAATGTTTTGCTTTGACTTTTGAGAAAAAGTTATAGAAACCCGAGGAAACTTTTCAAGAAAAGTGAGCAACAACGTGATCTTCTTAAAGGAAGTTTTAAATATTTACCTGATTCGGATTAAGAGGGAAGGGAAACGGAACTGGATTCTATAAAAAGAAGAAAAAAGGTGAACTGTGAGTGAACCAGGCCAGGTCCGTTTTCCTCTGCTGTTTTCTGTTCTTTATTCACACAGCACCGTTTTAGCCTTCTGTGTGTGCTGAGAGTCTTAGGCCTCTGGGCCCAGGGTGCCAGTAAATAAGGCTACTGTCCTTCGGGAACTCTGGATTTGATATACTATTTTCCTTTTAAGAGTTATAATTATTTTGATTAATTAAACATGGTGTCCAAGGTTCTGTTATAGAAACCCGAGGAAACTTTTCTTTTTAAGAAAATCGAGCAACAACGTGATTTAGTAACAACCAAGAATGCTGTCACAGAGGCTGCTGTTCACAAAGCCCCCTTCGTGGTCAGCGCCGTCAGCACAAGTGCCTGTGGACTAGGCGCCGTGGACCATGGGACTCCTGCTACAAGCCGTGCTGGGGGAAGAAGACTGAACAGCCGACAGCTTTTCTTTTAACGTGTCCTATGTCTGGGTCCGGAATGTTTGATAGCCACCATCCCAAATGATACTCTTGAGACTTCCCACACCTTGCTTACCAGAGGAGGAGCCTGGGGGAAGGGAAACTGAGGAAAGAAGGGCGGGATTTGTGGTGGGAGAAAGTTGAATCTCTGTGAAAGGAAACGCAGTGTGAATGGCTCTGACCGCAAACCACAGCTTTTAAATGATGAGCATCCGTTTGGAAAGTCAAGCTTACCTGTTCACTGGAGCTTCCTCCAGATTGGCCAAGCTTGGAAACAAGAAAAACAACAAGGTAAAGTGGCTGGCAACCATATCTTATCCATGAAGACATTTTATTTTATATGAGAACA